GTCCCGGTAAAGGCCACTGGTATTGGCTCAACCAGCCTGTACTTCAAGCTCTACTTTGGCTCGACCCGAGGTGACTATACTCACACGCTGAGGAGCATGGCATTAATTACGATGCCTAGTCGGGCCACTTTTGTCTGCGTTATCTCCGGAAGGAAGCTGACAATAATTGATCGGTATAGCCGTTCGGCTTTGATCTCTGATACCACTACTGGGCCAGCTCTTCGTGAAAACCTCCCCCAGCGCCACCATCTTCTCCTCGGTCGGAGGCGCATTCTGAGACATATCTGAGCCGGCCTTCTTGCATCAATGGTAACCCTTATCAGCTTCGTTGACCTCTTCCATGCCAGGCATGTCCTCCCCCACACCTATGACTACCAGTCTGATATCTTTTGAGATTCTCCCTACAACTTCATGGATCTTATCATTTGGAATTGTCAGGCCTCGAGTGCCGTTTTTGTGCGCTCCAGGATCCAACATATTAGGCGAAGTTTATTTGCATTGATTCACCCTTCATCAGTCCTCTTTCCATGCATGTCCGCTTCATACCAGAGGCTTTGAGCTTTGAATTCGTTTGAGGTTGACTATTTACACTGCGCCTGATTCTACGAGTCAAATCAATGCAGACCCATGGGCAGGGATGAAATGGTGGGTTGAGACTGAAATTGCCCCAATGTGTGTAAGTCAGTGTTATATTACCTTGGTAAAATATACAATGCAGTATAAATAGAACATCTCTTTACCATTTCGGTGCTGCCCGCTGGCCAGTTTGCAACTCACAAGCTGCTTCGGCCGCCTAATCGTCGCACGGCTAGTTTTAAACCTGATGGAAAGTGAGATTTCACTAATTAAATTTTTGAAATAGGAAATATTTGCCACTACGCAAATTTCTCTCAGGTTAGTGTTTTTGGCAAGTAATTGTAAATATACTCATGACACAAAAGTCGTATTTTTGAATTTGATTTCATTTGACCCGAATTGGCGCCCTGCGGACCCTTGCAGGCGGCTATGAACCTATCCATATATTTACATGAGGGGGAAACTATTACGATAAAACCCCCTCCTCTACTAAACTTTGTTTTTATCTGTAGTCCTTCTTTACCTACAGGAAGTGCAATTGGCCTTGAGTCCGAGAGAGGACTAGCTAAACTTGTATTGTACCTCGCCATTCTTTCCTTGCCCTTGCGTGCTTAAAGAAGACAATTGTAGTCTTGAACTTGACCCCGATGGTCCCAATACTTGTGGTGGGAGATTGACCAGGAGCTGTTTGCGCGGGTATCCTGGCCCTCTCTTTGGTACCTCCGGCTTTTGGTGAGACACCAGTGTGAACCCTTGGTCGTCTGTAGATTTTGTCGTAGTTGATGTTTCTCCTTTCCTGAATTCCGCCGTTCTCTCCATGAGTTCATACCAAGCCCGGTGAACGCTGGCCTTGTATGCCGCGATGTTCTGACACGCCCCTTTGCCACGATTTATGGTCCTTGCCGCAGTTGCAACAAAGTCCCGATTCCTCGGGCATTCCCTAGTCTGGTGAGTGCCCGCGCACTCACCACATCTCCTTGCCCTATTGCAATAGGCTCGGGTATACCTGTTGGTAAAACACGAAGTAATACAAATTGGGTGCCGTCACGAAGTCAGCTGTCCGTCACGAAGTCGGTGAATAATCTCAATTAACTGGCATCTCGAAATACATAAAACATTGTCTCTCCTTTTTCTCCTCCATCTTCCCTTTCTTCCTCTACTCCAAGCACCTCGCTAATGAGCTAAGTCAGATCCCTATCAGTGTCCTAACGACAACCCGAATACTGCAATAAGATTGAACAATTCATACTGCCCAAATATGATCTATTTACCGACAATACTCCCATTGAAAACAAAAGTCCTACTATTATAGTTATTCTATTTACACCTCAGATTGCGTGTATTTGGTAAACAATTTAGACCCTCCGATTCGACAAAATGTACCACAAACATACAATATATAACATAGCAGTCTTTCGCTATTAACATAATTAGATCCTACAGAGTATAGCTCGTGCCCGATAGAGGGTGGGTCAAATCCAGGCCCGGGAACTGAGCCCGAGGCGGGGCTTGAACCTGCGACCTTGAAGTCGCCGCCTATCTCAATATCACCCTAAGAGCCACACGCTCTACCGATTGAGCTACCTGGGCTGGTTCCGTGTATTTAGAAATATTAAAATGAATAAATTTGATTTTTTGACAGCCAAAAGCTGAGGCCATTTCAGGCTAAGAATCAGTCAATAACTTGAATGTATGTTTATTCGTGATGGGCACAAGCCTAGCACTCATAGAGCATGATACGGAGAAGACTAGCTTGTCCAACGACATTATACGACGATAACTCAGTTTGACATTTGGACTACTCATGTAGTGGGTACATTCGCTGATACCACTCGAGACCTTTGTGCCAGGGACTCTCATCATTTTCTCAACTGTTAATATCCACCAAAGGGAAAGCAGGAAAAGCTTTGGCTACCCTAAAATAACTTCGCCATCTTTGATATAGCCACTGCGCGAGATATGACCTCACAGGCCTCCCTATCTCGGGTGAGGTAGATGTGCGGACTACCCAAACTTTAATTCGAGGAGACGATGACCAGGAGGCAGACTACAACACTTTCAATCGTTGCCTGTTTTTAGAGTGTCGGTAGCTCATCCAAGTCCGTAGCCTCAGCGCCCATAGACACCCCAAAGGTCGAAAACATTTGAAAAATATGAGTTGCCGCATGCCCATTTGGGACCTTATCACACGCTTGTCTCACGTTCCAGCTGCCTGTTTGCCCTCAGGATGTGTATCCCCATCAGAACACTAGTCCCCTACAGAGCAAGACCTAAGCTTCGTATTTTACAACTTAGTTTCTTCCTCATGGGGTTAAAGTGTTGAAATTAATGCTACTTGGCAGTGAAGAATATCATTAATACGAAAAGTAAAAAGGTGCAAGCCTTACTAGCCAAGTTCATGATAAATCATACATCAACCAGCCATACAACTATCTAGTTTCAGCACGTAAATCATGCCCTTTTTTTGCGTCAGATTTGAATTGCGTATGCAGCTAGTTATGACAAAAAACCAGATAAAAAGTAAATAACAGGTGACTCAATTTAAAACTAGAGCACTCAAGCCTCAGATTTCATTTGCAAGTACTACTGCGAAGTTATGGTAGCTTTTTCTTCACCCCAAGTCAGCCCTCATCCGTGAATGCCCACCCAGGGGAACGTCTCAAAAACCCTGGATTATCCAGACATACATCCATCGTCCATTAAATTTTCTCCGCGCGAAATATAGTCTTTGGTGTTTCCTTCCCAAGTGGAGTAGGTGCGCAGGCTACTAAAACCATACCAGAGAACACCACCAGGAGACGGACCACAACACCTTCCATCGTTTGCTTGTTTTTAAAGTGTCAGCTGCACTCTCGCAAGCGAAGTCTCGGCGCACACAGAGCCCAATTCGCAAAACTCCTTGCCAAGATTCGGAATATCACGCCCTTCGAGGTTATATCCATCCTTTGCATCATCTTTTAAACTTGTCCTGATCCCTCCCACGTCTATCCCAAAGAACTGTCTCCCAGATTTGTGCGCCACGCTTTGATTCCTCCGTCGGGTGTAAATATCGGCGTGGGCGTGTATTTGGTGGCCAACTGAGGCCAGAGAATGACGAAGAGAGGTGTGGTCATTTGAATGAGGATGTACTGGGTCGTACTTGTAGACTTGATGAGGCTTAGGTAGGATTCGAACTCGTTGGGGGCGAAAAAACGACGTGGAGGAGTAATTTGAATCATTGCCTCGTGGGCCAACTTCTTTGATATTGTGAAAGTTGACTGAACTTGGCTCTAGAAGAATATTTCACTCCCAGGTTCGTAGAGGACACCGCGTACAGGTGCTCAGTCTTGCCCTCCTGTTCATTGAAATGAGGATGTACTTAGTCGTATTTGAAAACTTGATGAGGCCTTGGTGGGGATCGGACTCGTACGGTGGGAGAAATTAATTTCATAGAGTCTTGGATCATTACATCGTCCCAACTTTTCTTGTATTGCGAAATTTACTGAACTTAGCAGTGGGGGAATCTTTCACTTCCAGGTTCGTAGATGACACTGCGTACGTGTGTTCAGTCTTAACCTTCGAATTTGTGGTGTATTGTGCTGTTCCAGTCTATGACTATCTAGTACATTAAGCGTGACGGCTGGCAGGTGATAGAGTACCTGCAACCCATGCTATTCAGTACAGGCATATTTTATACGTCAGTCCCAAGTTTGGCTGGTTTACCTTGTTCCTTGCATGAATCATTTAATGTGTATTCAGCTATCTAGCTATGCCAAATGACCGGTGATATGTATGCATATTGGATGACTCTTTTGACGTTAGAGACACTCATACTCTGGATTTCATTTGCGGATATCACTATGAAGTATGCTTGATTGCACAACTAGTCGACCCTCCTCAGTAAGTGCCCACCAAAGGGAAATTCAAAACCTTTGGTTATCCATGAGTACTAGCGCCGCGAGAAATTTGTTAATTTTTTGCCAGTTTCGAGCGGGCGGTCACCTATCTAAAGTGGGATACATGTACAAGCTGTTCACTGTCTACTTGGGAGGCCGGCCACAATCAAGTACCACTGCACCATCCAACCATGAAAGTGCTTACAGTGTCACATGAATTCAATGTTCTCATGCTGCGCAGCCGTGAGCCAAATAGTAATCAATGACTCAAGGCTAGCAACTCAAGAAATTGATGAAAAGTTGTTTAAACGTGAAAAGAGTTAGTCGTTATCCTTCAGCTAAATTTCCTCGAGGCTACTCAGAAGGGATAGTAAGTTCCTCACCACTTTCAATTCACAAATTTTCCCGACATTAATCTTGACTTTCAGACTTTGCTTGGCAGATGAGCTCAGGCACTTATAAAAAATAAAATTGAAACTTTTGATATTTTCCCAGCCGTCTATCTCCTAAGATAAGCAGAATATCTACCTTTTAGCCCTACCTGAAGCCATGGATATTTTCCAGCTTCTTACGCGCTCAACCAAAATAGCCAAGAAATCCTCGAATCAAGCTACCCCTTCCGCTACTTTTCCATCTTCTGGTGTATCCGGTTGTCCACAAATTTACCACGACCAATCCCAAGAGTCTCGGGGGAAAAAGAGAAGGCATGATGATCACAATGAATTTTCAGACGACGAAGAAGTAAACTTCTTTGCTACTAAGAGTACTCTACCAAGGCCCCAAGAAGTAGTCACGAGTGACACGGAGGAAAAACAATATCAATCATTGAATGAAGATGAATGTCGGAAAATTCTTCAATCTCATCGCATAAAAGTTAGTCTACTTGGATCGGAAGAGCCACAGAACAAGAAGTCTAAAGTTTCAGGGAAGATAAAAAAATCGAAGTTAGATAATGAGAATAAGAATAAGAAGATTAAACAAATTTATCCACAGCCCCTTATTTCTTTCAGCGATCTACGCAATTTATTCGGTATATCTAAACGCATGGCTGAAAATTTGGCAAGCAGGGGATATAAAATTCCAACTGAGGTGCAAATGGTTAGCTTGCCACTTCTTCTTCGTCCTAAGATAGCTTTAGAAGGCGTCCGCGATTGTCCTGGAAAACGAGGCGTGGATACACTAACTATAGCTCCTACTGGGAGTGGAAAAACCTTGGCTTTTCTGATCCCTATAGTAGATCAAATTGTACAGCGAAGAAGAAAGAGTGAGAATAAGTCAGATCACCGTCTCGAAGCGGTAATTATGGCACCAACGAAAGAGCTGGCCGACCAGATTATGAACGAAGCAAAGAAACTGAGCATAGGAACTGGAATAAAAGTCACTGGAATGCGAAAAGGAATGAGAATAGTTGAAAACACTGAAGAGATTGAAAATACTTCCCTACAAAAGCAAGAAGATGAAAATGATGAGGAGGCTGAAGAAGGGCTTTCCACAAATCAAACCCCAACACCACCACCACCAATGACTACAGCCGATATCTTAATCACAACACCTGGGCTTCTCCTCAGCTCCTTGGCTACTAAAAAAACGGCTACGTATCTTTCTCTACCGACTGTACGCACCCTAGTATTGGATGAAGCAGATATTCTCCTTGATACACTATTTCGCGACCAGACTCTTTTACTTTGGTCAGCTATGACTTCTCCTTCCCTCCAAACTATGCTCTGGTCAGCCACAATCTCTTCTTCTATTGAAGCCCTTGTCATATCAACCCTGAATAAACGCCTCACCCGGCGCCCACTAATTAGGATTGTCATAGGACTCAAAGACTCTGCCCTTCCATCCATCTCCCAGAAGCTAATATTTTGTGCTACTGAGCCGGGAAAGCTACTTGCATTACGTGATCTAATTCATAATACTTCTTCGAATTCAGCCAAGGACATGCAAGCTCTCCGGCCTCCTTTAATAATATTTGCTCAGACCATCGCACGAGCAACAGCTCTCCATGCTGAACTTCTATACGATATGCCACTTCAAGCCGGTGGATCATCGCGCATAGCTGTCTTACACTCACTGCTTTCAGACTCTATACGCTCCGCCACTTTAGATCGTTTCCGTAGCGGGGAAATCTGGGTACTAATTACTACTGACTTGCTCTCGCGAGGCGTTGATTTTCGAGGTGTAAATGCGGTTGTAAATTACGACATACCAAATGATGCGGCGGGATATATCCATCGTATCGGACGTACTGGAAGGTGTGGTAGGGAAGGAGGTATTGCAGTAACTCTCTACACACGTGAAGATATACCGTTCATAAGGGGGGTTGTAAATGTCATTGAAGCTAGCAGAAAAGCTGCAGGAAACTCAGGAGTTAATGAGACTGACCAGGGCGTATCATGGCTTCTAAAAGTTCTTCCAAAGATAAGTAAAGAAGATAAAAAGAAAGTAAAGCTGAGAGGCGTCGAAGCTAGACGAGGAGATCTGAGTACAAAAGAAAAAGAGGGTGGTCAGAAGATTAAGAAGTCAAGTATGCGAATCGGAACTAGAAGTGGTTTCGAACGCAAAATCAGTAGTCGTAGAAAGGGTGCTATAGAGGGTAGTAAGCGACGAGCTAACCAGAACGCAAATAATGTCGAGAATGAGCAAAACTCTAACGCTAGAGTTTACGAGAGCGAGTGGAGCGGATTAAATGAATGAATTCAAGTGCACTACAAAATTACGTCCGCCTTGCTTCGTTCAAAAGTATTTCATTTAAAACGCATTGTTCTTTCAAAGGCAATTAACATGTATACATCTCAAGTGAATTTTTCCTATACTTTGGGTGGAAATAAACTAGGCTCCATACTAAAATTAGGATATCATATATTCCATGTAGGGGCACTTCTCTTTTATAGGCGGGACTAGCTACAATTATATTTCAACGTCAAATCGGCCCTGGTGAGTTTGAGGGTTAAACTTAGAGATCGATTCTTCATGATTGAGGATGATTTTAATAGATTCAAGGAACCGGTGGGACTATCTCCCATCCAGTCACAATTTATCATGTTTGGTCCACTTATCATCCAGTTCATAGTCCATCACATCATTTGATCCTTCAAGAGATCCCGGCTCTTCGTATTTTACCAGAGGAACATAACTCTCCTGATCACACTGATTCGCTACATATCTCTTGCTTGTTCTTGAACTACCTGCGTGCCTTGACATTCTCTAAAGTAAGTCGGATATTGAGCTACTTGTGACGTTTCTGCTGGGTCGATTACCTCGTAGCCTGGTTGTGAATATGTATACGTGGATTCTTGGATAATTTCACGCTGCCATTACATAGAAGAGCTTGTTAATATCTCCTGCGTAAATTCTCTAGGCGCTAGATGATAAGATTAGGTTTCACCCCGAGGAATTAATGATAAATCAGATTGAGGATCAGTGGTGTCGGAAATTATTGCACTTGGTTCGCTCGATTTCCATGAGCGGAAGCCCCAGCCCTGAAACCCTTGATGGGGAAATTCTTCTGATGGTGCGCATGCAGGCGGTTGATGTGCTGACTCTGCAGATTCAGCAAGCATAAATTTCTGAGCAGCTCAATAATCAATAGTCTGTTGATGGTCAGATCTTTGGCATTCCCCGCCGTAAATTACATCATCGTTGAATGTTGCATGAGGTGTGAGGCTAATTTTACATTTGTGCCCGTCAATCGGTATCCCGTGTGGGTGGTGAATGATAGAATTCTCATCTGCATTAGCTTGAAATCCGATGAGCCAGCCCTCACATGCCCTCGCCTCAAATTTGCTGGGTTTGAGGTCAGCCAGCTCATATGCGCGGCACCCAAATCGTGGCAAGTTAGTAGAGTCGAGCTCGTCTGGCCATGGCTCTCTGAGGCTCTTGAGAAAGTCTACTGGTAGACCTGCTTAGTCTGGAGACAAAAGAGTCAATTTGTTATAAGACATGCATATTGGACTGCCCAGTGTTAATTTTTAGCCGGCATTTTTGGCATCAGCTCGTTCGCCGCTTCAGACAGTCCGTTTAATTCCGGTGTATGAGGTGTGTAGGTGTCGGTCCGTATGCCATGTTGTTCACCGGAAGCTCTGGTCCGTGTAAACTCCGCGCCGCCATCCCTAAATATTATACGTATACGCTTGCCCTACTGGTGATGCATGGCGTTTATCCACTGGATCAGCGTCGTCGCAATTTGCTCTTTTTTATGGATTGCTAGCGCCCACATCATGCGGGTTTTGGTATCAGTTAGGATATAAGTATATGAAGGACCGAGAAGTGAGAGAGCTATTGGGCCTACATTGCCTAATAATATCTCATCTAGTGGATCGATAAGCATGAGTCTCGGATGGCGGGAGACAAAGCACTCTGCTTGCTTAGATGGAATGTCTCACACGCACTTAGATCTGAAGTTGTTGGAAATCTGGACTTAGCTGCATGAAGGTTTAGATTTCCAAGTATGATCATCAAGATCAATTCAATTGATCCGGTTGCATATGGTTAAGCTTAGCTGGGCGACACGAGGTTCAGTGGTATCTGGACTGCAGTGGCTAGGAAATGCTACCTTGCGAAATTGAGTGGCTGGTTGTTGCCAGATCACTGGGAGTTTTGGATCACTAAAGCCTTGAGGACCTATATTTAAGGATAGACTTATTTGTACATATTAAACTAAGTCAACGAATTCTTATATATTATTAATTCATATTGAGAAGAGAGTTCGATATCCTATACAACTATCAATAAAGTCTTGTCCGAAATTGTACACTTGTTCTTCGAGATATCTCCTAGAAGTCCTTGATAATTCCTAGCAGAAGTATCTAGGTTCCCTAAACCTATAGAACACTGTGAGGTTTTCTCGAAAACATTTTATCCGATATGTCCCAGTCGTTGGTGCCGTCATTGAGTATTATTGGTCTTGGGCACTTTCGCAACTCCAGGCACCGCGATTTGCTGGGTTCCGATTTCTTCTCGACCTTACAGAGGTAAGATGTACTATACATTGTTATTTTAAATGACACGTGCTGTGGGCATATCAGGTTGACCTTTATATTTTTTGTACTAGAGACCCCTTGATAGGATCAATAGTAATTTCAACTAGTCGCTCTAGTCTGCTGGAAGAAATCATATTGCATTATGATTTTGGGTGGTATAGAGTATTGTATAGGTCTAACCTGAATTTTCCACACCTAATACGAGCTTTTTCTACCTTAGTGAGAGCCATCGCTACTACAGTCTATCAAATCCGAATGAATGCGTTCACTCATGGGGTTTAGTAAAAGTAGACTTCATACTCACAAATTGGTGCGATGCACCGGTATCATATATGAAAGTCATTTTATTTGCACTTATAGCAGCGGCAGATATATTTACACTCCCTGAATATTCAGGTTCCCCATTTTCGATTTCTTACTTAATAAATGCATTTTCCCTCACTCAGCTATTTATCTGCTTTAGGTCCAACTGCTAATTCAGAATGTTGCTTGTATTAATACTTGTTTTGATGCTTGTACCAGCACAGTCTACATATTGCTTCTGGATCTACTTTATTAACATCTTGTTGTCGTGGAGTAGCCATCATGGCGATTTTCGGTGCTTTGTTTCGGCCTCCAGCCTCTGTTCGCAGTTTAGACATCAGGTAATCCAGTGGTATGAGTGTATTTTTCAGCATTTGAGCCTCTCCAGATGTCTAGTCAATCCACATCTTTTGTGCCAAATACAAACAAAGCTGTTGCTCGTCCTTTATGAACTTTGTAGTCTTCTGCCATTGCCGTTTCATTTGCAGCTTCCATAACTGAAACTGCATTATTAACACTTTGCAGCCGCTTGAGAAAGACATTGCAGTATTCATTTGCAGTTGCGATGAACCTAGTTTTTAACAATTATGCAAGAGTAGGTTCGTATGGGGCGGAGGCTGTTATGATTTTAGTTTTGGCTAGTTCGTCGTACAACCGTTTTGCAGTGATCTGGTCTTGGTATTCGAGGACTAGCTCGGGGCTCAACCTAGTGACAATCGCATCTTTTGCCCGAAACTTGCCGTGCGATTATTTTACAAGTGCTACCTTGTGAGTCTTTGCTGCGTCTTGATCGTCATCAGTTTCCTTCGGTTTAGATGGCTGGATGATTGGGTCTATGCCTGGGACATCATGAAACACATGTCTTATGACATCAAGAATACTGAGTCTTGCTTGTAAGCTGCTCTTCCAGTAGTTTAGTGGACCTCCTTCCTATAAGGTCACATTTTCGGAATCTATGTTTATCATATTTGTTGAAGAGCCCAGGCTCATAACCTAGTAAGAACAATAACGTGCAAGTGATACTTAATGGACCAACATGGATGACTAGCGCTTCTAGCGCTATGCGAGGAGAGCTGTGTAGAGTGCATGCGACACTGTAAATACCACCATGCTTGGATGGTTGGATGGTGTGGTGGTACATAGTCTTGACCGGTCTTCCAAGTAGAGTCTGGATAGCTTGGACACATATCCCATTCGAGACAGTAGATCGCTGGTTCAAGTCCAGCAAAACAAAACCACATTACTCGCGGCGCTGGTATACACAGATGACGAAGGCATGCTTGGATAACCAAAGGTTTTGAAACGTCCTTTTGGTGGGTACTTACGGAGGAGGGTCGACTGTTTGTGTAAGCGAACATACCTCACAGTGGTGTGTGTGTTTATTGTAATATTTGAGTCACGGACTATCTAGCACATTGGGCTCTTCTCTGACCCAACCCACACCATGTACAGTGCTCTTATCCTCTTTTTTCACTTGAAAGATCATTGATATATTCCCCTTGATGAATAGCCATTCAGCTCAGTGTTTACCCGTGGGATTTGGCCACCTTTTCCACGGAACCTTCTGCCCTAAATAAAAATAAAAAAATGGTAGCAATGGAAACTGCGTGCGCGGGAGAAAGTCTCAAAAAACCAGCAGGCCCAGCCACATAGGTGCGTATATCTATCTATATCTCCCTTCTTTGTAACGTTCGAGGCCAACTTGATCTAACCGACCATCTCCGTATCGGGTGCTGGGTACGCTCCGGAACCTCATCGGATGGCTTTTCCTCCATGATCAAGGATTGGTGATAAGTAGGGCTCCGACCCTACCATCTGATCTAATCGTGGTTAGCTTCATGATAATGGTGATAGGGAGGTTGTGTTAATATGTGGAGACGATACAGATCGCGAAAGCGATTAGGAATCCTCATGTGAGTGAGGACTTTGTTACTCAATCTCGGCTCTGCAGACTCTGCAGTGAGAGCTGGAGGTTCGCAGGGGACACCACTAACAGGTGTTGAGAATAGTCCCATGTCAGGCAGGGGAAGGCTGTTTTGAAACCTGTAGGACTTACACGCCACACTGTCTCCCAGTGATATTGAATTTTATGGTGATGAAGCAAATTCTGATAACCATGGGGTTATCACGCTTCTCTCTGTGGTAGGTAAGCACGGAAGTGTTTATACGCCGTAAGGATTAACCTCGAGGGGTATCTGCGTATGAAATCTGATTGTGAGTGTTTGTAACGGCTAGTGAGCCGATAATTGTCCCGTATCACGTGATGTTAGTCACGTGCCTCAACAATTCTGTGAAAGGGCGAAACTTCACTCTAGTTTATTCTGAACATGACTAGAGGATTCTAGCAACTGGCATTGAGACTGTGAACTGGTATCAGGGAAACATAACAGAGGCTAGTATCAGACAGGAAGG